AAAAATAGGTCATATTTTGAAAGACACAAGGAATAGCCTAAGACAATCTGAAAGGAAGAAATTGATGTTTGTAAACAGTACTCCTAACACGCCACACACAGCCTTGGTTGTATCTGAAGAAGAAATAGAAGATGTATGCCTTCATATTCCTTGGGATATAGTTTACCAGAGTAAAACGGTTTCAATGAAAACAAACTGATCTATGTTTTAGAAATCTGCTTCAGTGAAGTTGTACTCAGCAATGCCCAGGCCCACTCATTTTAAGTAACCTTTACTTAAAAAAAAATAGGTTTATGAGTAAAGTTCAGCAGCATAAACAACACTGTGTAATGTTACCATGTCTGTACGTAGTAGCCTCTTTTGGGTTGTTTTCAGAAATAATATTATTCTGGAATGTAAAAACCACCTTGAAAAATGCAGAGATAAGAGTACCTTTGTCTTCCACTGAAGTATCATGTTTCCATAGTGATGAAAGCAGCTCTTGATATCCCATTAACCAAGATGATTCTGGGCTTCCTGCTTCCTCATTCCATGTACCATGGAGACACACAGAAGGAAAGGGGAGATCCAGGGAAGAGCCCAAGGCTCCTTCAAAGAGAAAGCTTCCAGGATGCTCCAGTTCTGGTGTTCAGAAACGTTGTCAAGAGGAGGCCACTCGGAGAAATGACATAGCCAAAGTGCATTATTTTGCACAAATGCTCTCCTACTTTGGGCAACACCTTTTGAGTCTTTTCACAAAAACAAAACTTGTAAGAATATTCAGCAGGGTGCTAGTGGTTCATATCTGTATCCTAGCCCATTGGCAGCTAAGTACAAGGTGAATCAAGGTTACACACCAGTCAAGACAGAAAAGTTCACATGACACCTGTCAATTCATAGCTGGGTACAGTGGTATATGCCTATCATCCCGAGGTTTGTGAAAGGTGGATACTGGGGGCATCATGATGACAGGCTAGCCTGGACATAATAGTCTGAGCCTGTCTTCAGAGAAAAGCAGACATAGGAGGTGTGTCTGCCATCCCAGCAATAGTGGGAGCTCTAAAAGTAGAAAGATTGGGCTCAGGCATGCATAGAATAAGACCCTACCCTAAAAAATAACCAGTGGAAAAAAAGGACTGGAGATGCGGTTAAACAAAATCGCACAACATAATAAGTATGAAACCATGAGTTCAAACACTCAAATAATGGGAAAGTAACAGCATCTCCACACCCCTCATCAGGCAAGCAGTTTCTACCACATAAATTAAATGAACGGGCCCTACTTTACTCTCCTGTGACATTTCTACTTGAAACTCCATGTTTACTCTCAACTTTTAATTTCCCCACAAATGTATTACCTAATTGTCTGATTTACTGAAACCACCTCCTCAGAAAAACACATTGTGCAGAGTGGAAGTGAGTCCATCCCTGCTACCTAGATAGGGAAGAGCTGTGTTGTTTGTGTTTTACCTTCAGGTCCTAGTAGTTATGTGGAAGTCCTATCATAGGCTGAGTAATGGGGCTTATTCTAGAAGGATGGAGTCAGACTCTCTGGGAGAAGGTCCTGAAATTTATCATTTTGGTAAATGTATAGGTATTGCCAAGTTTGGAAGTCAATAAGAGTTTTGTTTCTATTCCATCTTTGTTTTTCTTATGGGTATCTGAATCTGCTAAAGTGCACTGGGAGTGTATAAGCAGAATTAGATCTGTAAACCACTATGACAGTGTTTGTGAACATAAAGATTTCGGGGCTAGGAAGATGGCTCAGTGGTAGAGCTCTTGCCTTGCATGCCTGAGGTCCTGGGTTCAATTCCTCAGCACCACATAAGCAAAAATGAAAAAAGCCGGAAGTAGCGCTGTGGCTCCAGTGGTAGAGCGCTAGCCTTGAGCTGAAGAGCTGAGGGACAGTGCCCAGGCCCAGAGTTCAGCCCCCATGACCGGACCCCCCCCAAAAAAAAGAAAGAAAGAAAGAAAGAAAGAAAGAAAATAAAGATTTCCTTGGGTGCCAATTTTACAGGGGGCTAGTGGCTCACACCTTAATCCTAGCTACACAGAAGGCTGAGATCTGAGGATTGCGGTTCAAAGCCAGCCTGGGCAGGAACATCCATGGGACTCTGATCTCCAATTAAGCACCAGAAAAACCAGAAGTGGCGCTGTGGCTCAAATGGTAGAGCACTCGCCTTGAGCTCAGGAGTTAGGGACAGCACCCAGGCCCAGAGTTCAAGCCCCACAACCAGGAAAAAAAGAAAAAAGATTTCCAGGTACCAGTCATCCAAATCTGCAGGGCCTGGCCTGGGAATCTGCATTTTACCAGGTTTCTCCTAAGCTCCCAAGACATTCCTCTATATAGGACACCACTGCCCTTGAGAAGTAAGTTAGATCCCTATGGGATCGAGCAAGTCACCCAGTGAACAAGGCAGATGGGAGGACCACAGGATACTAAAGTTCCATGTCAAAGAGTAGGAGCTCCTCTGCCTCAAGTACTTGTGGCTATTTTACCAGACTAGAAGATCCAATGTTGCTGAAGTTTTGAATTTTTCAGAAGATAGAAATCTTGAGAAACTTAATTTCTTACAATTAAAATAATAAGTAAACACAGAGCGCTAGAAACTTATGCCCCTTTTGCCTTTGAGAATCTTACCATGTCATATAAATCACTGGAGATTTGTAATATCATAAGCCATTTGGAGCCCAAGTGACTTCTTATGAATAATAAGAGTATATAGGATATCCGGGTACAAGGACCTACTGGGTCACTAATATGTTCATTTCCCTCTTGCTGCTAATGGCATCACCTAACCAGATCTCTGCCATATTGCACAGGTCCTAGGATATCCTCCCACACCTCCAGTACAATCTGTTCCCAATATACTTGTCATTTTCTTAGGCCATGGCTGAGTGCTATCTTTGGGTTTTCTCCCTGGGTCTCAATCCTAACCACCAAAGCTAGGAACTTGAGTGTCCTCCTTAATCCTTTGGCCTCCTTTATAACCCACGTTGGGTCATTTACCCAATCTTGCTAATTCTGCTACCACCAGTGTGAAAGCTACAAGCCATCATCTATTCTAAGCATGCTTCTTAGACCTGATCTCATTATGAAAGTAACAGTGCACTGTCCCCTGACGAGCTAGCCTGACTTCACAAAGAAAATCTTGTGCCTTTTCTATGGGCTGAACCCCAGGTAACCTTTCCTCTTTGGCTTAAAAGTGGAGCTTAACTGGAAGAACTTAATTTATTAAAAGTGTAATATCCATTTTAGAAAATACTTCAAACTCATGTGAAGTTCGAGATAGTGGAATTAGCCTTTAAAAAATAGAGCTTTAAGCTGGGTACTGGTGGCTCATGCTTAGAATCATAGCTACTGAGGATCAGTCTTTGAAGCCATCCCAGGCAGGAAAGTCTGTAAGACTCTTATCTCCAATTAACCATCAGAAAACCGGAAGTGACACTGTGGCTAAAGTGGTAGAGTGCAACTTAACCTTGAGCAAAAGCCTTAACCTTGAGCAAATAAGCTCAGGGACAGAACCCAGGCCCTGAGTTCAAGCCCCATGACCAACCAAAAAAAAAAAGAGCTTTAGCTCATGTGGGTAATCCTAATTACTGAGAGGAGGCTAAGATCTTCTAGGAACTCAGTTTGAAGCCAGCCTGAGCAGTAAAGTTGTGAAACTCATCTCCAATTAACCACCATAAGGCCAGGATTGAGCTATTGTGACTCAAGTGGTAGAGCATCAGGCTTGGGTGAAAAAGCTAAGGGACAACACCTACACCATGAGTGGAAAACCTAATACTGGTACTAAAAAATAAAAAGCTTTAACAATGGATCCAGTGGGATCCTGTTCACATAGTAAAAGGATAAAAAGTGATTGAGAGAATACAAAGTACATAGATGGAGTCTAGATTTTCTGTTTAAGAATTCCTGACTACAGGACCTAGTGAAAACTCCCATCAAAGTAAAAGCAACAATGGAGGACAGCAGTTACAAGCAGGCAATGGAGGATAGGCACCCGTTGTAATAATAAGCATAGAACCTCAGCTGGAAACTTCTGGTTTCTTCGCATAGAATGTCATACATTCACAAATTCCATCATCTTGCCATCCTCAAAGAAAGATTATACAAGTTAACACAAACAATACACCCAAGGTAATTATTTACATTTCTCAAAACTCTAGTAAAATCAAAGTCCTTACACAGTACTATTAAAAGTGGGAACATGTATTTATTAAACAAAACAAAAAGTGGATTTTTCAGAATCAACTCTGAAAACTCCTGCATAAGAACATTTTGATGAAATATAAAACAGGCCGTTTTCTTTCCTGTTCAATAGTTATTTTTCTAATGCCCATAGGAAGGAAGAGATCAAAAAGAAAGAAGGCACAGATCTGCTAGTATGTAACGAAAGATCCAGAAAGAATTTTTTTCCTATTAGCTAACATTTCACTGTGAAATGCCAAAACAAACTCATCAGTTTATTTGTTAGTCATTAAGAGGCAAACACCTCTGAACATCTTTCTAGATATGGTAGTTTGGGTGATGGATAAAGAAACTTTAAAATATACAATCTAAAGATATCACCTAGAAATAAATGACAATAATTCACAGAGATGGTAAAAATAAGTTGCACTATCTGTGCTCAGTGACTTAGTAACATCAATTCACCTTCCCAACCTTATCCTGTTACTAAGTTCACAGGAGTGTTCCTTCTATTGTAAAATTTTCATAAATGAAATCATTTTTTGATGGAGAAAAAGAGTTTAGTTCACCTAGGACATTGGTTCCTATAGCTCTCTAGTTGGGAGAGTGTTCCCAACCTACTCATGTAGGTGAGTAAAAATGTGACTAGCTCTTTTCTCTCTTTCTACCTATATACAAAAGCTTTTAGCACATTTAGGAGAAATCAGACAATGCCAACTCTTTTGATACTAGTTTCTGGATGTAGGCTTCAAAATCATTCTTCCTTCCTCTCTTCTGTATTGTTCAATTGTGCCCATGGGTGATCTAGAGTAATTTCAAACATGTGGTGTTAATATGCCCAATACTGCTGCTGCAGAGAAAGGAGAAAAACACATTAATTGAATCCCACTTGTATTTTCTTTTCTTTCTTTTTTTTTTGTCGGTTGTGGGGCTTGAACTCTGGGCCAGGGTGCTGTCCCTGCACTCTTCAGCTCAAGGCGAGCACTCTACCACTTGAGCACAGCACCACTTACGGTTTTCTAGTGGTTTACTGGAGGTTAAGAGTCTCACGGACTTTCCTGCTCAGGCTGGCTTTGAACCATGATACTTAGATCTCAACCTCCTGAGTAGCTAGGATTACAGGCGTGAGCCACCAGTGCCCAGCCCCACCTGTATTTTGTATGTCCTAAGGTAACAGTGAGTGGTTTTTCTAATTGTTCATTAGTAAATCTACAGGTTTGAAAACACTTATTAGTAAAAGTAGTTCTTTTAAACAATAATTCTGTAACAAAACACACATGGAACAAATATATCAACAACTAAAAGACTAACAGGCCATGGGATGATGCATGCCTATATCCCCACTACTCAAGATAAAGTAGGAGGATTGCTTAGCCTAGGAGTTCACAACCAGACTGGCCAACAAAGCTGGACTCTTTAGTGAATCAATCAATCTAAACAATCATTGTAACTGTCTTTCATTTATGCTGTTCTTGCTGTTGAAATACTGATGGAATAATCTGAAGCTACCTCGAGTTCTAGTATTTCTTTGTAATTCTCTTTGCAATATTTTTCTCCTAAGTTTTGTGGAAGGTCATTATTACTCTCACTTTCAGATGTCAGGTGGAAAAAGCAACAGAATCTACCCTCAAGGGGATTCACTAGATCATGAACATTAAATATAAACAGTGTACAACGTTTGCTAACTAAGTGCTCAAATGTGTTAGCTATTATCAGCATCCAAAAGTATTGGAAATTATGTGAAGGTTACTAGAAGTCTATTTTCAGCGGGCCAATCTTGTCTGAGTTTTTCACTTGACCTGGTTAGTTTGTCTAACAAGCAAAGACAGCACATTTTACACATGCTGATCCACCTGTCTGGAATGCTCTTCCTCTCACACCCGAACCACTTATTTGGCTAATTCTTTGTCTTTAAATCTTGGCTTAGGCAGCACTTCTTCAGGGATAAGGAGTCCGAAACTTCTCCTGAGACTCCAACTCCTATCAAAATTGCCTGCTTCTTTGCATCTCCATGACACTTGATGAGATCAAAGAATCATGTTTGTATTCTTAGAGCAACAGGTAAGCACAGTCCCAGAACATAACAGGTGCTCAATAATCATCTACTCTATACTTGGTGACTGGAAGAACAGATTTTGATAATGAGAGTGATTGCTGTCAGCCTGAGAAAAGAAGCAGGTGGGGATGGGGAAGGGAGATGTGGCATCCTAGTAATTCTGAGTAGAAGTAGGGAGCCAAGAGAAGCTCCAGAGGAAATCAGGCTCCATCTGGTAAGGTCTTTTCAAACAAGCTGGGCCATATGAGGGATATCCATGGAACAAGGGCTAAACTGAGTTAATAGTACCTGCTTTTCACTCACCATGCTGAATACCTTAGAAATGATCTTAGCTTTTATGTCCCAGTTTAATAGCTTTTCAACCACATTAATAACAATAAAGTGCAAGTCAGGAGCCTCTGGATGGAGAAGGGAGTTCAATCTGATCCATGGCCCTCCAAAGACTTACCAAGCAGTTGGGTTGTGCTGTGCACGTCTGTCCAAGCATGGAATTGCACTGCTGGGGAAGAAACTTTGAGACTTTGGGCATGGCTGACGGCAAACGAATGTCAATATTCTGATTTGTTATGGCAGCTGAATTATAGGAAAAGATAACTTTAGAATAGTATTTGATAGCATGGAAGGAATTAAGGGAGAGGGCTGCACTGGGAATTTGAGTTTTATACAGATCACCAATAGTACTCACTGAAGTGGAGCTTGACTGACCTGTAATAAGAAAGAAAACAAGTATCTGTCAGCTCTGGGCAGCAATCTGTAGCTCTGAACTACTTCACTGGAAATACATTGAAATGAAATATAAATATTTCATTTCTTCACAATTCACACTTTCCCTGCTGTTATACTCAAACAATGATGGATAATAGTTAATACAATATACACATTATACCTTAGTGCCCAAGTATCATCCCTCTGTGTATACTGACGTGTGTGTGTGTGTGTGTGTGTGTGTGTGTGTGTGTGTGTGTGTGTTTGGCTCCCATCATAATTGTAAGTGGCAATCCCTATAAAGCAAAGAAGAATGTGGAAAAGAACAATTCCATTCAGCCATGAATAAAATTTGGCAGATTTCATTAAAGAAATGCAAATCAAAACAACATTGAGATTCCACCTCACTCCAGTTAGAATGGCTATAATCAAGAACTCTAATAACAACAGATGCTGGAGGGGATGTAACCAAAAAGGAATCCTACTGCATTGTTGGTGGGAGTGTAAACTTGTTCAGCCACTTTGGAAAGCAGTATAGAGGTTCCTCAAAAGACTCCACATAGAGCTCCCCTATGACCCAGCAATCCCACTTTTGGGCATTTCCCCAAATGGTCACAAACAAGACCATACTAAAGCTACCAGCACAACTATAACTATGTTTATTGCAGCATTATTTACCATAGCTAAGATATGGAACCAACCCAGATGCCCCTCAGTAGATGAATGGATTTAGAAAATATGCTATATATATACACAATGTATGACATCGCCCCATTTGTTCGGAAATGGAAAGACTTGGAAAAAATTATATTAAGTGAAGTAAGCCAGGCCTAAAGAAACATAGGTCCCATAGTTTCCCTTATTTGCAATAACTAGTATATGTCTGGGACAAGTAGCAAAGGTCGAAAGCTATGTACATATGACCAGATAAGATGATGTTAAGCGAAATGAAACCCAAGATAGGGACACAAGTGTTTTTTTCTTTCTTGCTATTGTTTCTAACATATTTATAAGGTACCATGTGAGTTTTTTGTTGCTTTGTATGTTCCTCCCCCAAGTATAACCCCTTTTCACTGTGTTTGATGTTGGAGGGTAAGGGAAAAAACAAAATGTTTAAATAGGGCTACAGGTTGACCCATTGTAACAAGATACTATGTTGAAAAACAAACATTACAATTTGGGGGGGGGAAGGGGGGTTGGGGGGGAGGGGGGACAAGGGGCACTGTAGTTGTGGAGGTGGGAGGGAAGGGATATAGGGGAAAAACAAAAGAGGAGGCAACAATGCTTGATAAGAAATGTACTCATTACTTTGCTCATGTAACTATAACCCCTCTGTACAGTATTTTCACAATGAAAAAACTTATTGAAAAAAAAACAAAAAAACAAAAAATATTTGGCAGATTTTCCATCATAAAGTAGATTATATTACTATACATTCATATTTCATAAAGTAACTAGAAGATGAGTTGTAAATTTATAATCTTAATAACAGAATCCCAAGTAACATAGTTATTATACATTTTCTTCTGGACATTATCATGACTCACACATAATGGCTCATGCTTGTAATTCTAGATACTTAGGAGGCTGAAAATGGGAGTATCACAGTTTGAAGCCATTCTAGGTAAAAAAAAAAAAGTTCATTAAAACCCCTTTTCAACCCATAGGTGTGTGCAGTTGTGCATGCCTGCCATTCCAAACTATATTAAAGGCTTACATTGAGAGGATAATGGAGCCACACTAGCTGTGGCATAAAAACCACTATCCTCAACCTTACAGAAGGAAGAAAGCTGGATATAGTGGTATGCACCTGTGATTCCAGCAATTTCGGGGATCATAGCTTAGGCCCTTTCCCAGGCAGGAAGCAAGACTCTCTCCTAAAAATAACCAAAGGGCTGGAGGCATTATGGCTATGAAGTATTGCACCAGTCTAAAAAGTTTGAAGTCTTGAGTTCAAATCCCCAGTACCTCCAAAAATGAATAAAAATAAAACAATGCAATTTTATGTCTACTGTAAATACAAGTGTACCAGGAATGTTTGTGACAAAAAAATTGGAGCAAATGTGAATACAGTTTTAGAAAACCACAGAAAAAAAGTTGACAAAGTCTAAACATGTCCACATTACAGGGTCTCAAGTGCATATATTTTATCTCTCTCGCTCCTGGTAGTGAAAGTGAAATTTGGAAGACTTAATTGTTGACAATTATTTTAATCCTCTTTCAAAACCAGTGTGGTGAACATGGACCTATATTATATTTAAGTATGATCCATGTTTTCTGCTCTCTAATTCATTTACCACACTTTTGCAGGAATTCAGTGCATGGAGAAGTCCAAAATAGAACAAACCTTGCATGCAAGGAAGACTTTCCTATCACATGGCATATGAAATCTCTCTGACCTCAAACTGTAAAAGATAAATGTAGCAACAAGATGACTAAAGAGAATTAAGTCATTTGATGTTTAAAGCCATTAAAATGGTGATGAGGACTATATAACAATATTGTACACATGAAATGAAATTAAGTAACATCAGGAGACAAATGACAATACTAGAGAAAAGACATACCTGGAAGATGACTTAAAGAAAATATATACAAAATGAATGGTAATGAGCTTAGCCAGTCAGAAAGGGGTCTATGTGGCTTCTTAAGCAGCAAATTATATATAAAATTGAATTGAGGGTTTCACTCACTGGCCTTCCATGTCTCCTACTCCTTGAACAAGCCATAAGTCTACAGTCCTAGTATATCTGTGTCTGTCTGAGAGCAGTCTATTTAGAAATGGGATGTAAACTCACTGTCATGGAAACAGTGTTGCTTTGGCATGTAGACAGTATACAGATGTAAGAAATATTAACAGGCACAGGACTGTAACCTGACTTCTTCCTGATTTAATCTGGGAAGATTTAAGCATATGGTGTAACACTCAGCCATATCTATGCTAAGTAGCCCAATCATGGCTCCTGGCAACTTTTGTTCCTATTCTTCTCCTCTTGTTCTTAGGTCAGGATAAGAACTTATATTGACAAATAAATTTCCCTGAGGTCTACTTGACTGTATGAACAAGGACAGCTGTGTTCTATTTTTGGCCCATTCTCTTCAGACTTTAGACATCAACCTTAGGAACCTCACTGTTCCTGTGGTTCCTACTATATTCCCATCCGTGCACATGGGACCTCTGCCTTGCACTTTTCATACTGGGTAAGCCACAGCTTGCATCTGTGAGCCTTTCTGCTACCAGTCTTCAAGCTCCATAAGAATAATATTTTATGTTGTGCTCTATCCTATCTTTGAGACAGGGATATTTAAGATGAAAAGTAGGCAATGGCCTTAAATTTGTGAAAAGTGCTGAGAAAAGTGGGAGAAAGGTCAGGTAAAATGGAACTGGGGAGCCCAGCTGTCTTGTCATCCAGCATGGAATGCTCAGGATGTACACATCACACTAGTTTCTCAAAGGAGAGTAACCTTCGGGATAAATATCAGACTAGTAGCAATGAATTTTTTTATTCATTGATGGAGCATGAATACCACATTGCTGGAGTGCTTGCTATATGCTTGGTCATTACTCTAACTACTAGAAGTACAGCAGTAAACGAACAAGTGACAAACTCCTAACCTCATGGAGTCCATTCTGGAGGAAGAATAGAGACAATAAATAAATCATATTAACAGATGTTAAGTATTGAGAAGCTAAATCCAGTGAAGAAATTATAAGGATCTCATGAACTGTGTATGAAGGAAAAGGATGTACAGTTTTAGCAGAGGCTGAGAGATCGTGATTTCAGGGCCATTGTGGGCTACACAGCAAATTTCAGGCCAGTCTGTGCTATATATTGAGATTTTATATAGACTTCCAGCTGCACCTGATTCCCTCATTATGGACTAGGTTCACAGGAGTCCAGAGATACAGAGGGTGCCTCTCCAGGCACAAGTGTCCCATGAGAGGCACAGGTATTAGGTAAGTCTCACCTCTCATAGATTCATCCAGGGATCCCCCCGCAGTAGGCTCAGAATATACATCCAGACACTTATCAGCCACTAACTGGATCTCTCTCACAGGTGAGTACTTGCTTGTCGTCACAGTGCTTTTCCTTGAAAGGACAAAAAAAAATCACTGAGCACATTTCTCCAGGAAGACAACATAATACTGCTGAGTTAAAATGTTCTTCTGTTACTCAAGTTCTAAAAATCCTGAGAAAGGCTCAATTTTTGGATACTTATATATTAGAATAAGAAGAGGAACAAGACCCTTGATGATTCTTTTTAGGAATGATTGGCTCTTTCTCTTCAGGTTCCCTTTATTTATATAATCTAATAAATCTGAGTAAGCAGTCATTGCTTGCCATGGGCTTGCCATTTTGTGCCAATGAGTTTAAGGACAGGTAACTGAAATTGAGCTCCAGAGCCTTTGGCCTCCAGGAGAGAAGAAAGATACATCATACCCTGCTATACTGCCACTGTCATTACAATGGCAAAAGTCCACTTTAACATCCTCAGGAATAACAAAAGAAGAGTCAAATTACGGAAGGACGATGAGCCTGAGAAAATTATGTATGTCTATCACCATAATGTAAAAAGTAAACATTGGCAATGAGAAAAGTTCCCTGGTCTGTAACAAATGCATAAGCTTTCATGTGGATTCATTCGATCTTAGCTATACATCTAGCAGCAGTACCAGACAAAAATAACAAGCAGACTGGGGATTCTTAATACCTTTGAGACTTGACAGGGCCTTGGAGGCAAAGCTGGATCGCCTTTGGTTTCTTCCAATACTTCTTATTGTTCTTAATAGCTTCTGAAATCTAGAAAATAGATTGTAGATATAAATAGATACAGTCAAATATAGGTATTTTCACACATATACAGAGGCACATTTGCAATTACCAAAAACTAAATAAAATTATAGCATGAAAGTGTTGTCTATAACTTTGAGAGTGAATACCTTGTGCATAACAGCTGGAGGGATTCTGTCCCGGACATACTTCACATAATCAACTGTTGCCTCAATAACTGAAGCCATATCATTCTTCCTCCCCTGCTCATATGGTAACAGAGCACGCAGCTGCTCACAGCAATACTTGATTCGCTCTCTGATCAAAGAGGTATAATAAATAAAGAATAATTAGTCTCATTTTCTTCTAAAAGCAAAGACAATTGTTCCTTCTACATTTGTTTGTAAAGACCCTGTTCCTCTCCCCATCTAGTCTGTTTCAGAGAAAGACTGTGTTCCTGCCGGCCAGAAACTCTCTCAACCCCTGAAATCACTCTCAGCTGGGCCAACTATTCTCCTGCTGCACAAACAACTGCAGCCAGGATTCAGTATCTTTCTCTCCCTCACCCAGGCCTACTGTAGTTCACAGAACAGCCAGACACAAGGAAAAAAACACAGCCCTGCAGACAGGGAAACCTTTAGACAGTCTATTCTCTGAGCAGAGAATCACATATTATATGTAAATTTATAATTCACAGTAGAAATCTAGCAGGCAGGTACAGTCAAGATCACCATGTCACAGGACTTGGAGCACATTTCTATTAGATCACTGAGCATCATGTAATACATGGGCTTTACATGTATTGCTATGACCTAAAAAGGAAAACGAGAGGGCTACTTTCTTTCTGTGAGGTAGTATAGACAGACCAAATAAGCCAATATTCAGATGAGTACAACATCCACTCTAATATCAGCAAACTAAAGCTATCCTAATTCAGAAGATGAATACACAGGAAATGTAGATTTAGCTGAGTTAACTCTGGTGCTTTAACTTATTCATGTGTTTTGTGCTGGATACTGATAGATGACATATACAAGGCAGCTCTACCATTTGCTAGCTAGGAACTCAGAAAAATTACTAAGCTGCTTTAAACCTTAGAGTGACAGAGATCAAATAAGAAATTTTAGTTTGATGTACAGACAAGCGAATAATTTAAACATGTTCTAGACCAGTAGTGTATTCACCAAGCTTTGGGAACTCTGGGGATTCTGTAGAGTTGTCCAGGAAGGATGAACAAGAGTCAGCAATTTGAAACTTTCCATGCCCTTTGGCATAATAGTTTCATTTACAAATATCTACCTTAAAGAGACAAAGTAGAGATGATATTTTTGTATAAAAGTAAACATCATCACTGTATTTTAGTAAAATGTGGAAAACAATCTAAACTCCTAACCTAGAAGAATGCCTTAAATAACCTGATCAGTTCAGTAGAGTATCATCTGGAAGTGGAAACAATGTTATAAAGCTCTTGAGGGAAAATAGGATGCAAAACATCACTTCCTTAGTGAAAAATCATATTAAGCCTTTTTTCCAACATTAGAAAAACTTTCAAACACACAAGAATTGAAAAATCATACAGTCAACACTTTAGGTTCCCACCACTTACAGTCCACAATTGACATTTACTGTCTGCTTTGTATGTATCCTAGCATTTATAATACCATTTAAACATTAAAGCTGTAGACTGCAGTATGCTATAGCCCTGAATGTAAATTATGTTATATTCAACAAAAGCTACAAAGATAAAGTGCACAAATCTTAAGGGTCCACACTATGTGTTTAGATAGACATACACAAGTATAACACAAACTCTAATCAACATTATCAGAAAATTTCCTATGTTTCTTCCCAGTCATTATCCATTCCCACTCTATGAAAAGGTAACCACATTCATGACCTATCTTCCACCACACATTTCTTTGCCTATCTTTAAACAGCACATAAATCAAATCTTGTCACATGTGGAGGTTTTTTTGGTGATGGTCCTGTAGCATCAACTCAGAGCCTGGTACTGTCCCTCAGCTTCTCTTCCTCAAGGCTTGCACTCTACCATTTGAGTCACAGCTCCACTTCTGGCTTTTTGGTAAGTTAGTGGAGATAAGGAGTCCCATAGGGGCTGGGAAGATGGCTCAGTGGTAGAGCGCTTGCCTTGCATGCCTGAGGCATTGGGTTTGATTCCTCAGCACCACATAAGCAAAAAGAAAAAAGCCAGAAGTGGTGCTGTGGCTCAAGTGGTAGAGCGCTAGCCTTGAGCTGAAGAGCTGAGGGACAGCGCCGAGGCCCAGAGTTCAGGCCCCATGACTGGACCCAAAAAAAAAAAAAAAGAGTCCCATGGACATTCCTGCCTAGGCTAGCTTTGAACTACAATCCTCAGAATTCTGCCTTCTGGGTATCTAAGATTACAAGTGTGCGCCACCATAACAACGCTACATGTGTTTCTTTGTTTCTTTCACTCAACATGTTTTAGGAAAAGTTCATATCTACTGAGCAAGAGTTACTCTATAATATAAATGTTCCATAGCTTATGTATCTATTTCCTTACTGATAGGTACTGGGACTGTTCCCAGTATGGGTCATTACTAATATCATGCTAGCTCATTCCACATATCTTTGTGAATACATGCTTTTCTCTTTGATGTTTAATAATAGAAATGATGGGTCATTTTAGAAGTTTAAAAAAACTGACAGGAGTAGTATAGTACCATTTTATACTCCCACTTATTTCAATGTATGATATTTATTTCAAATGTTTTAATAATTATTATCTGTAATGTTCATTTGGCCTATCTGTAGGATAAAATTAGTGGGAAGAGATTAAAGGATATTACATACTAATAAAGGGATCTCTTCTACTGGAGGATATAACAATTCTATATATCTATACACCAAATGCAGGAGCACCCAACTTCATCAAACAAACACTACTTATCCTAAAATCACACATAGATCCAAGCACATTGAGTGTTAGTAACTTTAGCACACCACTGTCACTTCTAGATAGCTCAAGCTGGCAAAAACTCAACAGAGAAACCTCAGAACTAAACAACTGCATAGACTAACTATTGATAGAATATAAACATTGATAGAATATTTCACCCAGCAGCATCGAAATATATGTTCTTCTCGGCAGCGCATGGAACATTATCCAAAATAGACCACATTTTAGGTCACAAAGTAAATCTGTGCAAACTCAGAAATACTGAAATTATTCCTTGCATTTTCTCAGACCAAAATGGAGTAAAATTAGAGCTCAGGACCAAAAGCTACCATAGAAAAATCTGTGACTCATGGACACTGAACAAAACATTGTGGAATCACCAGTGGATCACTGAGGAGATCACAAAGGAAATTCAAATGTTCATGATATTTAACAAAAATGAACACACAAAATAGTAGCTCCTCTGGGATACAGTAAAGGCAGTACTCAGAGGAAAATTTATAGCTCCAAGTATCTACATCAACAAATTGGAGAAATCTCAAACCAACAATTTAATGATACATCTAAAGCTCCTTGAAAATGAGCAACAAACTAAACCCCACTACAGGGGATTATACTTAAAATCAAATCAAAGTTAAATGAATTGGAGTGCAAAAAAAACCCAGCAAGAATCAACAAAACAAAAAATTGGTTCTTTGAAAAAATTAACAAAATTGACAGACCCTTAGCAAATCTGACCAAAAGAAAAAAAGAACACACCAAAAGAAATGAAATCAGAGATGAGAATGGGAACATCATGACAGAAACAAGAAAGACTGAGAATATTGTAAGGGAGTAATTTGCAAACCTTTTTCCTAACAAATTTGAGAATATGGAAGAAATGGAAGAATTTCTGGCAAATGTTGATGATATAGCTAAATGAAGCCAAGAAGATTTAAGCCAATAGACACATATCTAATATTGAAATAGAAATGGCAATAAAGGATCTCCTATCCAAGAAAAGCCCAGAACAAGACAGATTCACAGCCAATTCTACAAGCAAGTCAAAGGAGAATTCACTACAATACTCATCAAACTCTTCAATGAAATTGAAAGCAAAAGATCACTACTAAACTCATTCTATGAGGCCAGTATAACCTTCATCCCAAAACCAGTTAGGGGCCCAACAAAGAAACAGAACAATAGACCCATTTCTTTAATGAACATTGATGCAAAACTTCTCGATAAAATTCTGACCAATAGACCTCAACAAATAATAGAAAAACTCATACATTATGGCCAAACAGGACTGATTCTAGGGATGCAAAGCTAGTTCAATATACTCACGTCAATTAATGTAATTCAACACATCAATAGGAGCAAGGACAAGAACCACATGATCATGTCACGAGATGCAGAAAAGGCATGTGACAAGATCCAATACCCCTTTATGATGAAAGCTCTGGGGGAACTTTGAATCCATGGAACATTCCTCAATATAATAAAGGCTATACATGACAAATCTACAGTCAGCATTATACTTAATGGTAACAAGTTAAAACCATTTCTAAAAATCGCTCCACTCCTCTTCAATATAGTATTGTAATTCCTAGATAGAGCAATAAGGCAAGAGGCCAAACATAAAGGGGATCCAAATAGGGAAGTAAAACTGCCCCTCTTTGCAGATGACATGATCCTGTATTTAAGAACCCCATAAACTCCTCACCAAAGTTATTTGAGCTGATCCAAAATTTTAGCAAAGTAGAAGTATATAAAATTAACTCACAAAAATCAGTAGCTTTTCTGTATGCCAACAATGAGAAGAGTGAGGCTGAAATCAGAAAAGCAACTCCTTTTGTAATAATAGCCTCAAAAAAAAAAACCTTAGGAATTAACCAAAGAGGTGAAGGGTCTCTATGATAAAAATCTTAAAAACCTGAAAAAGGAAATTAAAGCAGAACTAAGGAAGTGGAAAACCCTTCCATGCTTCTAGATTGGGAGGATTAACATCATGAAAATGGCAACACTGCCAAAGGCTATCTACAAATTCAATGCAATATCCATCAATATCCCAACAACATTCTTTAATGCAATAAAAGAAGCAATACAAAAATTCCTATGGAATAACAGAAGACCCTGAATAACAAAAATAATCCTTAGTAGGAAAAACAGTGGTGGAAGAATAACAATGCCAAACTTCAAATTCTATTAGAAAGATGTAGTGATAAAAACAGCTTGGTACTGGCACACGAACAGGCCGGAGGGCCAATGGAATAGAATTGAAGACCCAGAAATTATTCGACAGATCTATGGCCACCGAATCTTTGCTAAGGGAAGATGGAAGAAAGACAGCCTCTTCAACAAATGGTCCTGGCAGAATTGGCTATACATATGTAGAAAA